GTCAAGTAGTAGACAAGATACTCAGCACCAATGAGTACTTTGCACAGCAGGGTATGTTCCCCACAAATGCCTTTAAACTAAACCAACACTAAGAAAACAGTCCATGCAGTGCTTCTCTAGTATCTATAGGACAGGTTTTATTTTGTTTTTGTCACCCATGCTTTCGTAAAGTCTGGCAGGGTTACTACAAAAATAAAAGGAAAGACAAGTTCAAGGATTCTCTTTTTTTATTATCTGAGTAACAAGAAATAAAATCACCATCCAGGGCCACCCTGGTGGGGCAGGGGTTAAAATCTCAGCGCTATCAAGCTATCACCAGCCACTGAGTCATGAGTTCAATCCTCAGCCAGGAGGTCCCACAGGGCACAGCAAACCTCTCCTGTCTCGCCTGCTGCTCCCCTCGGTAGTTTATTTCACCTGTTCTGCCCTCTACCCTGTCCCTGGTGAATCCTCTCACGACTGCACCTCTGACCTACAACCCAGGTCTCGTATTATAAACAAAAAATATTTAGGGTCCTCCCTGGTGGCACTGCAGGTTAAAGCACAGCACTAAGAAGCTAAAGCCACTTCAGCATTGAGTTCAATCCCGAGATGACCCACATGGCGCAGCAGACCTCTCCTGACCCACCCACTGCTCCCCTCAGCAGTGTACTCCATCAATCAGCCTGTTCTGCTCCCCACTCTGTCTCTGGTGAATCCTCTCACCACCCCTGCACCTCTGGCCTATACTCCAGTTCTGTATGCAGAAATAAGTCTTTTAAAATTTTTTTTTTATTTTTTTTTAAAAATCACTATCATTCCTCAAACTACTAAACATGGAGCTTCCCTACAACCCAGCAATCCCACTCCTAGGTATCTACCCAAAAGACACAAAAACGATGATTCAAAAAGATACCTGCATCCCCATGTCTACTGCTGCTTTATTCACAATTGGAAAGACATGGAAACAGGCCAAATGCCCAAAAATGGATGACTGGATTAAAAAGATGTGGTACATAAATACAATGGAGTATTACTCAGCAACCAAAAAAAAAGAAATACATGTCTTTTGCAGCAACATGGATGGAGCTGAAAAAGATCATGCTTATTAGTGAAATAAGCCAGAAAGAAAAGGAAAAATACCAGATGGCTTCTCTCATAGCAGGACTATAACAGAACAGGCGAGAAAATAATGATAATGATGAACAGCTATATACCAGAGACATTTTGTGGGGGTGTAGTGGGGAATGGGATTAAGGACAGCGCGGGGGAGGGAAATGCACTGGACTGTGGTGATGGCACATGGGTGATTTGGTGATGGGAAACCCAAGGGGATTGCAACTGAGATGGAAAAATGCACAAAAATATGTAAAAATAAACTATTATAAAATAAAAATAAATCACCCTTGATGGCACAAGGGTGAACTGGTGGTGGGAAATTCACAGGGGTTACAACTGAGATGGGACAAGGCACAAAACGATGTAAAAATAAACTATATTTTTTTTTTTAAAAAATCATCATCAGGCCCTCCCTAGTGGCACAGCTCTTTAAGCCGTGGCCACTTCGGTGCCCGCCCTGAAGGTGACCCACACGGCACAGCAGACCTCTGCTGTCTAGCCCACTGCTCCCCTCAACAGTGTACTTTGTTGATCTGCCTGTTCTGCTCCCCACTCTGTCTCTGGTGAATCCTCTTACCCCCTGCACCTCTGGCCTATAACCCACTTCTGTATGTGTAAGTAATTTTTTTTTTAATCACCATCAAATTGCTATTAGGAGAAAAAGAAACCTTATACTCATGGGGTGAAAGGCACTACAGAGGAAACTAGTTCCTACAACATACCTGCCACAGTTCCATGCTGATAGCACTGTCCAGCTGAACAAGCCTGGTCTCCAAATGCATGGACTGGCTCTCTGGATTATTAAGATTGATTGCTGTACTCTGGTTATGGTGGCGCTGAATCTGTGACAAGTGCATTCTCAAATTGTCACACAGTTTACGGAATTCGGCCTTACGGGTGTATTGTAGGCAGAATTTGAAAGCTGCAAGCATAATTATAAAGCATATAATGATACCTTTCGCCATCACCTTAAGCATATGTGTTTTTATATATACATTGATAAACTATACAAAAGGATTTACCAAAGTCATCAATCTCTAGAATTCATCAGACTCATAACTCACTTTGTGCCTTGGTCACTTTTTTGACTGAATCAAATCTAAGATCAGTCATCAGTCCTAGCCTAAAAATAAAAATACAGGGTCCTCCCTGGTGAGGCAACTGGTTAAAGCACAGCACCATGAAGCTATCTGCTGCCACTGCGGCTTAAGTTCCATCCCCGGCCAGGGAGCTGACCCACATGGTGACGGACCTCTCCTGTCTGGCCTGCTGCTCCCCTCAGCTGCATATTTCAGTCCATCTGCCTATTCTGCTCCCCACTCTGTCTCTGGTGAATCCTCTTACCACCCCTGCACCTCTGGCCTGTACTCCAGTTCTTGAAAGCATAAATAAATAAATATTAACCAAAAAAAGACCCATATTTTAGACCCATATACGGTATTGTAGACATCAGTAGAATATATTCAATGGAATTAATTCATTAACTAATAAGACACATTTCTTAAAAACTGACTTATTTAATAATTCGAATGACTGCCAATCATCATTCAATAAGAACTTAATATGTTAAAAAAAATACAGTACTATGGAGAAAAAGCTAATAATTACATTTTTCAATAACTTGATTGATTCTTAAGTCAACTTTTTAAATCAGTTCCCATTTTACCTTGTTGGGCAATATCATGGTAGAGACGTTCCACTCTAGAATTATTTCGAAGGAGGTCCAAACACTGTCTATATGACTCCCACAGGAATTTAACCCATGGAGTTAAAAGTAACCTATCAGTCCGATCCTGAGTGTCTTCACCACTTACAGCACTTAGGAGAACACTACAGAGACACAAAAAAACAATCGTGACTTTAGACATGATTTTGTAGTTGCCTCAATAAAAAAAACAAAGCCAACAATAATCATCATAAAGCTGCTAATTTTAGGGCCTCTCGGGTGGTGCAAGGCTCTAAGCCTCAGCATTATCAAGCCATTATCAGCTGCTATAGCACAAGTTCTATTCCCAGGCCAAGGAGCTGACCCACATGGCAGAGCAGACTTCTCCTCTCTCACCTGCTGCTCCCCTCATCAGCAGTATATTTCAGTCAATCTTCTGTTCCCCATTCTGTCGCTGGTGAATCCTCTCACCCCCACCCCACACCTCTGGTCTGCACCCCAATTCTTATATGCATAAATAAATAAATCTGAAAAATAAAATTAGCAGTTTAACCCACACACCTTTCAGGAGTTTGAATATTGTCCAGATCTTCTATATCTAAGACCATCTGCTGGGATTCTTCTTTAGCAGCTTCAGTTTTTTCCTCTGCCAATTTCAAGTATGCCCTAACAACATCCTCCAGAGATTTGATGTTCACCTAACGCCCCACCCCCAAAAAAAACACAAGACGCTTAAAACATTTTCCAGCAAATAGTTTAATTTTTTATTATATATAAAATATATTAACTTTGAAAGTAAACACCACTGAAAATCACTGTTAAGAACTTATTAAAAGCCAGCCCCTCCTTGGTGGTGGGTTAAAGCGCAGCACCATGAAGCTCACTGCAGCCAGTTACTTCAGCATGAGTTCAATCCCCAGCCAGGGAGGTGATCCACAAGGCACAGCAGACCTCTCCTGTCTCGCTGTTGCTCCCCTCAGCAGTGTACTTCTTCAATCTCCCTGTTCTGCTCCCCATTCTACTTTAAGTAAATCCTCTCACCACCCCTGCACCTCTGGACTGCACCCCAGTTCTGTATGCATAAATAAACCTTTAAAAAAAAAACTTATTAAAAGCCATTTCTGTTCTTACCTGTTGACATATGTTCTTATACTGGTATAATCCTTCCTTAGCCAAGTGGCTCTTGCGAAGATCCACACAAAGTTCCAAGTATTTCAACATAATTGGCTCGTGTATCTTTTGCCATGTTCTATGTTTCTTACTTTTCATAACATCATAAAGTACATCCAAAGCAGGTTGCTTTTTGCCAACCTCAAGAAATTCTGGAAAAGCAATTCAGGAAAATTAAAATCAGCAATGTATACCATTCAGAAGTCTAAATTCTGTTTTAATCGACATGATTTCTGAATTCTTTGCTACCTTTTTTTAGGTCTCAGTTTTTTGTTTTCTTTTTTAACGTCTAAAGCTAAAGTCAAAAGTATCCAAAGTAAAGCAATGTAAAATTAGTACTATCTCAAAATATGGTCTACATGTAAAACTGCCTTTCACCCTAATCCACTGAATCAATTATATCTGATTACAAGTTCCAGAAAAGTTCAAATACTTTAGTCACAGTGACTTGTCTGATGGAATTCACACTAATTCACTGACACTTGAGATAGAAAAACCAAATGCTTTTGTTGCTCTCTAAGATCAACTGACTATGTGGGGGGGCCTATTTCTGGTCTCTCTGTTCTGCTCATTGTCTATTGATCTACATGACTAGTCCTGCCAATTTCTGACTGTGATTACCATAGTTAAGTCAAATCTTGAAATCAGGTAGTGTTACTGTTCCAACTTATCCTTCAGTATTGTGTTATATTCTGCCTTTCTAGAGAAGTTTTAGAAGCTCAAAGGATCTACAGAACACCTCATTAGGACTATCACTGGATCTGTAAACTGTATTCAATCTAGGTATCAAGTTTGGAAAAGTTGAACATTATGATCAATGCACAAAAACAGCTTATTTATCCCAACATAAATATGAGAAAAATACAAAATCCCAATTGAAGGACAGTCTATAAAAACACTTGACCAACACTCCTCCAAACTATCAGGTCATCAAAAATCTAGTAAAGGGAGCCTTCCTGGTAGCGCAAGGGATTAAGGACATTCGGAAAGCTGTGTAACTATGAACAAAGTAGACTTCTGTGAATAATAAAATCAGTTGGTTGGAATAAAGGCACTATTTTAAATAGTACCTTTAACCATACACACTTAGATGGCTAAGACAAACTTAATGGGGAAACTGTGTGGTACATCTGGGAACAATGTCTGCAATAATCTATAAGCATCAAGCTCTAAAATTAAAAGCTTATTTTCAAAAAAAAAAAAAAAAAAAAACACTAAAACACACCTAGAACGTAAAACAAGGAAGCAAAGACTTTTGAATTTACTATGGCCTAAACTTGAAGGCAGACTTTATGTGACATTATTTGAAAGTCAAGTTTCAATTTATGTACACACTGCTTATATGAAATTCACTCAAAAGCACAGGCTCCCCTTCACATTACTTCTGATCAATGTAAAATACATCTTCTAATCTTTCATTTTCTTGTGCACACTTAGTGGGCTTGGGGAAGTTATTTAACAGTTATCTGGTTATGTTCAACCTAAAACAACAATCACCAAATTTCATGTCAAAAAAACCTTCCTACCAAACATCTGAAAAACAATTCGGGGATATTAAAATAATAATTTACACTATAAAAGCCTTTAAAAAAAATTCCACTTCTGAAAATCATTGCTTATTTTTCACCTAGAAAGGAACAAATCTCTGGTAAGGAGTTCTAGAGTTAAACTAATAGGGCCCTCCCTAGTGGCACAGCAGGTTAAAGCACAGCACTACAAAGCTAAAGCCACTTCAGCACAAGTTCGATTCCCAGCTAGCATCTGACCCATATGGCATGGCAAACATCTCCTGACCTGCCTGCTGCTCGCCTCTGCGGTTCTACTCCCTGCTGTCTCTGGTGGATCCTTGCACAGTCCCTGCACCTCTGGCCTGTACCCCAGTTCTGTTCGCATAAATGAAACAAAAAAGTTAACCTAACATGCCTATCATTATCAGGTAACTGCTAAGCAAACAGTAGGCAAATAGATCCCTTATTGGGGGTTTTACTAGATCCACAGATTTAGTAATTTGCTACCACTTCTTTTTCCATCTATCACGTTTCAGGAATGTTGCTTCCAAACAGTCATTTCTTCAAAAAAATAAAAAATTACAAACATTAGTCTAACACTAATAAACTAATGCTTGCAACAGGCTTATTTACAAAAATACATACTTAAGTTAAGGACCTTGCACAATAGTCTGCTTTCATCCCTTCTAAGATCAAATCATGGTCCTTACAGCAAATGAATACAAATCCTTCAGTACTTCAAGTTAATCTCAGGAATAATCCTGTCTTTATGACAAAGTCCATTTGTAGTTAGTTTTATTACTAAACCCCCCCCCATTTAAAAAAAAAAAAGAAATCACACTAAATGCTAGGTACTTTACTAGGAATAAGCTTTTCAGTCCCCCCCCCAAATTCAACAATAGGTATTTCTAACAACTAATTATCACAAACAGTATCAGCAAAAAACTTGGGAGTAAGTAAGTGCCTTTCATTTTAGCCTTTATAGTAAGAACATTACACCAACAGTCCTAAAATGACTTATTTTATCTAATTCCCAACCCTCCACCGAGGAGGGTTATACTACCAAAAGGAAGTTAACTTGTAACATAGAGTGGGCACAAAGAGTTAAAGTGGAAAGCTGGCCCCCAACATGATGTGACAAAACATTTTATTGCCTAAAAATAATTCGCTTTCCAAAGTTCTTGTTTTGAAGTGGCAAGTGTGTTTCTCTAAAATATAAAGTATTGCTCAGGGACGGAACTTCTGAAAAAGTATTTTTCACTTCCCACAAGTAATTTATGATTCCAAATCTCATGCTGTCAACTTCTGAAACATTCCGTCCCAACACAACAAGTGCATTAAAAAGTTACAGCACAGACAAGCCCTACACCATGACCAAGAAAAAGACCAAGCATGTGAATACCAGGCAAGGCTGTAGAAAAACTGGAACAGGAGCACATTACCAGGATGCTTAGTTTCTGTCTTTCACCTAACATAAAAGGATTTAGGTCTCTGAATTACCTACTGAAGAAAATAAAGGCTTTTGAGGCCAGAAAGAACTGTAATCCACAAGATGCACTACCTTAATATGTAAAGAAATGTTCGTTTCTAGACTGACGTTCTTGAAATAAAAATTGTAATATGGGATTACATTATTAGGAAGGTGGGCATTCTGAATTTACCTTTCATACAATGATGAAACTATGTATCTATAAAGAAAAGGTTAGGCTATAATCCTCTCATTTACACTAATTTATTTGTGCAACAGAACAAGTAGATGAGCTATTATGTTACACAACTTGTGGGTTTAAAAGCAATTTTATGTTTAAGCCACTAGTTGTAGAGTGTAGCTAAAACACGGTTGGTAACAGGGTCAGGAACAACCAATTTGGCACCACTAACAACATAATCTGGAAAAAGTTTTCTCCCAATGATTCCAGCAGGAAGGGGATGCATTTCTTAGCTGCCAGGACAGGATCAAGTTCTCATCTTCCTAAACAATTACTACAATCATTTCCAAAAACATTTCTCTAACACAGCAGACAGACTTCAAGGGCTGTTCCATTTAAATGTATTCACGTCTTAACAAGAAAATGCAAAGGGCTGGGTCTAAATGTGCTTATGGTTATATTTAGCTAAAATGGGAATTTTCCCCCCATCAAATGAACTCTACTTTTGTTACAGGGCAGGGAGAGGACCACGGTGTTACACTTCCACCATCCTATCTGAAATTCTGTATGGAGTGCCACGTGCCATCCACACCGCTTACTCTGAGAAGGCCCCTCATTCCCTAGATCAAGACAGTAAGACAGTCATTATTGAAAGGCTTCTCCCACAGAAACTCAACCTATCTCCTGCAAGGAGTTAACAGTCTCCTTGAAAGCTACATACAAAATTTTAAGTTTCCAACACATGCAGTATCCCTTTCTCATAGCTCCTACTTTCAGAGACTTTCCCCAACCTGCCCTCCATGAATCAGATCTACTTCAATTTAGAAAATGTGAGCTAAGATTTGTCACACATCACACATCCCTTCCACTTTTAAAAAGCTACTGAAATGTGAAGTTCACATGAAGATTCAGAAAGAAGGCGTGATGAATAAGGGCCCGAACACACCAAATGTGTAGTCTTTGGACCAAGCTCACAGTGCCTTTTAGCAGGGAAAAAAACCCAGCTGGTAAAACACCCAAATGACTGTAAGATCCACGACAGCCAATGAGAGTAGGAATTTCACGCAAGTCACTCTGCAGACTCTAATTCGAAGGTTCAAATTATGAAAAAAAAAAACTTGCATTACTTTAAAAAACCTTAAAAATGAAGTTAGAGCAGAAACACGCAGAATAATTTGCACTCTCATATGCCAATGTAATAAATGCCTCCAGGACGCGCACACGTCCGGAAAAGCACCCGTGGCTCGAGTGCCCATATGGAAAAAGAAATCTTAGGCAGCAGCACTGTGGCAAGGAAAAAAAAAAAAAAAAGACTCATCTGCGAGCCGAGAGGCCTTGGTTTTGGCCTCCTGGCTCGACAACTCCCTCCCGGAGTGACCTTGGGCCAGCCATTCTCCCTTTCCAGGCCTCGTTTCATTATCTTTGCGCGATCTTAAAGTTTCTTCTAATAGGAACTCTGTCCCAACTTCCTGTGATTCGGTGTTTGGGGCCGCCAGTGATCAATGCCAGAGCAAAACAGCACACGGGAAACCGGTGAAATGGGCCAGAGGCCCCGAGGCGGGCACGGAGGCTTGGGGGTCAGAAGTGGACCCTGACCCCGCGCGGGGCGGCGGGGCGGCGCGGCGCCGGGTCTGGCCGGCGGGGGTGACCGCGGGAGGCCGGAGGTGGGCCAGCCGGCTGCCGGCCCCGGCGGGAGGTGGAGCCGAGGCTCTCGCGTGCATTGTCCCCGGGAGGGAGCCATGTTTCTTCCTCCCCGACACTCCCAGATGGCGGCCGGGGTCGAGGGGCCCGAGCACACCACAGCCCCGGGGCCTGGAGCGCGGAGGCGGAGGACGCGGGCGGGCTGGAGGGAGGGGCCCCGGCTGGGTGGGCCAGTTTCCGGGGCGACGGCCCCCGAGACGCCCCGGGAGGTGGCGCGAAGGAAGGGCCCCCACGGCGACGGTTCCCGGCTTGCGCCTCCCACCCCCCGGCCGGTGGGGGCGAGAAGACA